GCTCGCGCTCGCTGCGCTGCTATTCATCGCCGTCTTCTTCCCCTCCTCGAATCAGTTTGACCTTGCCACTGTCGCCACCGTCGCCTGCGTCTACGAGTGCCTCGTGCTCCCCGTCGGCTCGCTTCGCGCCGGAGGCCGCTTCCGCGCGAGAACGAGCCTCGCGCTCTTCCTGGGTCTGGCCGTGGCGGCTGCGATGTGGTGCGACGCGCTCGCGGACGGCGCGCAGCCTCTCGACGCCGCCCTCGCGTCGCCTTGGCTCATGGCCTCGACCCTCGCCCTCCTCGTCGGAGGCGGCGCCTGTCTGCTCGCGCGCCTCACGGCGCCCGTCAGCTCTCGCGCAGTCGCCCCCGAGGCCGGCATGTCGTACTCCTCGCCGTACGTGAGTATGGAGCACCACAAGCTCTCGCCTGTCGCAAAGCGGCTGCTTTCCTGATGACCGCGACCGCGGGTAACCACTCCTCCTTTCCCCTCTCGCCCACGAGCCTCAGCTTTGTGGCAGGTGGCCACCCCACCCCTCCCCCACACGTTCCGCCCTCCCTGCATGCCCCTCGCTGGTGCTCAGAGCTCGGTGGTAGTCGCCGCGCCTCCTCTCTAGCACGAACACCGAAACCACGGGAGGGAGCGCTGCGCGTGCGCCTCTCGGCTCGACTCGCTCTGCGCTCTCGCAGCTGTCCGATCATCCGGTAAAGCTAAAGGGGAGATACAGGCGCGCCGTGTCTTTTACGTATAGACATATCCATGTACGAGAAAGAATCGCAACGTTGCGTCGCCCCGCTCGCCGCGATGCGCAACTCCTTCGGCAGAAATTCTGGCCCCGCAACAGGCACACGCGCGACTCGCGCTATATCGCCTCTCGAGTCTCGTCTCCGCACTCCGGCTCGACATCGAGGTCTCCGGGACTCTAGTCTACTCGTTTGCAGCGCTGTCTCTCTACGAACTGTCTATGAGCCGTCCAGGACTCGCACGCAGAGGACGGTCACGTCATCTGGCTTGCCGCCGCTGTGCGACAGGCCGGCATTCTGCGCGGCGGCCGCGAAGGGTGAGCTCCTCCCCGGCTGCAGGCTCGCCTCGTGAGCCGACGCCGCGAGGGCGGCGGCGAGAGACCTCGCAGGCTCGCCGCGCGCGAGCGGACCCGCGAGCGCCTCGCAGATTTGCCGCTCGCTCAGATTGTCGGTCACGCCGTCCGTCACGAGCAGCAGCAGGTCGCCGGCCCTTACGACCCCGGAGTAAACAGCGCCGTCGGCAGCGGAATCGCCCGACCCGACTCCGAGCTGGAAAGGGCAGTTGAAGCGGTGCTGTTGCTCGCGCGAGCGGAGCGTGACGGCCAGGCGGTGCGGCGGCGACACGCGCGACGGACGTAGTAGCCGGAATCCGGAGTCGCCGAGGTTGAGCGCCGTCAGGCTGCCGCTTGCAGAGAGATGCACGAGACAGGCGGTGCAGGTCCCGACCGCTGTTACCCTCGAGCGCGCGGTATCGAGCGCGCGCGCAAGGTCTTCCTCGGCGGCTTCGGCGCCCTCGATCCCGGCGACCTCGCGCGCAGTCTCCACAGCCAAGGCCCGACTGAACAGGCCGGGATCGATGCCCTGCTCCGCCCAGCCTCCGACGCCGTCGAAGACCCCAAATGTAGATCCTCTCGCAAACCAAGCGTCCTCTCCTCCCGTCGCCACCTTGTCAGGGTGCGGCAGCACCACCGCCGCGGCATCGAGCCGGAATAGCAAGAGCATGTGTAGGCGAGTAGAGGCACACGCACGCTCTCTCGAGGTCTCTTAGCAGGGCCCGGCGAGACCTCGAAGGAGCTACCGCCTTGAGCGGGAGGAGGCCTCTACAACGAGGGCAAATTTTTTCCTTCGCGTGTGTGCTGCTTTTCGCACAGAGGGCACGCGAGGTACGACCGTGCCCGGCCGTGCTATTAAAGCGACTCGGCTCTCTAACAGGCTGCAGCCCAGAGCCACACGGAGTCTACGCGCATCGCTTGTGCATAGCCTCGACCAATCTCCTGTTCACGGTGCAACCGTGAACAAAGAGCTTCTTCGAACCGTTACAAACACGACGCGAGCCGCCCAGCAGGGAGCCTGGGCGACTCGCTTTGACGCTGGCCAGGCCGGAGGCGAGTGCCGCCGCCAGGCCACGACCGACCGCGCCCGTCCTACGGACGGGCGCAATGGGCCAAACGGATCCGCGCCGCAGTGCGTGCAGCACCGCGCCGCCAGTCCAAGACATGCAAACCGCAGGCTTTGCAGCGAGGACCAGCCTGCTCAGCTTCGAACGAGGAGCCAGCAGCCAACAGGAGGACAGCAGTCGTCCACGCCAGCTGGAATGCGAGGACCGCCCCAGCCGCAGGTGGCCCCATACGTAATGCTTTGCGCAAAGCACCGTGCAAAAATGGCGTCTTTACATGGCCATGCAGCAAGCAGTGCCGCCAGATGAGCACACGGCCATGGGCGAAGTGCACCCGCAGGGCCAGCTGGCATTGCGTGGTGCACTCGCAAATCAACCCGCCCTCTCGTGCCAAGGACGGCGCGAGGGGAGCGCGAGCATCCACCAGCAGCCGTCTGGCTGCTGGTGTGAGCCATACTCAACACGCCGCGCGGAGCGGAGTGCGGAGCCATGAATGAGCAGTAGAGCCTGCGCCCCGAAGCACGGCCTGCGGCCCCTACCCTGCCGTCGGCCCGCCACTGGCGGCGTCGAGGACAGTTCGAGACGGTGTGCGGTGTCAGCCTGTGAGGCGCACTGCACTCGAACTGCACTAGTGGAAGCACCAACACGGCCCTCGGGCTGTTTTGGGGACCCGGACGCCAGCGGCCCCCCGGGAGAGGGGTGTCCTGGTTGTGTCTTGTCTGAGTGCCAGCGCACGCAGCTATCTTAACGGCGTGAGGTCAGCAAGAACCCTCGCGGCGTAGTGCAGTCTGTGAGGGTGTGTGCCTGCACGGATTGCACAAGTAACAAATCACTCCTGTCGGCATTCCTCCGGAACGGGGCGACAGAACACGTGTTATTCCGTAGTCGGGATGACCACAAATCGTCAGGGCACTCAAGAAGAGGCCAGCCGGCACTTCGAGCTGCGCTCGACATGGGGATGCGCACAGTCAATATGTCAATGCGCGCCGCGCGAGCGAGTCTAAAGACTCGGTCGCGAACTTTCCGAGAAGGAAGACAAGTGGGGCTGCGGCGTCGACAGATATCGACGCCGCCGTCGCCGCGCATCATGACGAGTTCGCATTCCCCATGTGACCCTCTATACCTCACCTTCGAGACAAGCCAGGGTTCAACCCAATGGACCTAGTGTGGCGTCGAGGCCCGCACTGTCTGGACATGCGGGCCGCGGCTGACAGAACGGCGGGCTAGGCATTGAGAGCCCAGGAGTTTTAATTCGCACAGAGGGCACGCGAGGTACGACCGTGCCCGGCCGTGCTATTAAAGCGACTCGGCTCTCTAACAGGCTGCAGCCCAGAGCCACACGGAGTCTACGCGCATCGCTTGTGCATAGCCTCGACCAATCTCCTGTTCACGGTGCAACCGTGAACAAAGAGCTTCTTCGAACGGTTACAAACACGACGCGAGCCGCCCAGCAGGGAGCCTGGGCGACTCGCTTTGACCTCCCCCCCCGCCCCACAGTGCGCCAGCGGCGCATTTGGGATGGACACCACACGTCGTCACACCGAGCAGCTCTCTGTCAACGGAAATTTCTCAGTTCTGATGCGTCATCCGGATGGAGCAACTGGCTTTGCTTAGATTGGGAGTCCTTTTGCTATGTGCTCTACGCGGAGAACTATGCCTCTTTTAGCCTCATCCTGCAGGCGATAGCCCAGCCCGCGTGCAGCGGTGGCGGCGACACTTGCAACACGAGCACGCCTCGCTTCGGCGCGCTCGATCCTTCACAACGGGCCGCCCGCAAGGACGCGTGTGCGGCCCTCTCTACTCGACCTGTGCCACGGCACGGGTCGTTCTAGTCATGCAGCCGCCCCGGCGATCGTGCTCGGGGCGTATCTCAGCACTCACCGCGCGAGACGCGTGGCGTGCCACAAACCAGTAAGCAGCAGCCTTCGCTACTGCGACTCGAATGCTTCAAACGCGCACCTGTGCTTGCGCACGGCGTGCTCTACACGAGCCTCCCGGCCACACGAGCGTGCGGGCGGCTCGAATTCACCTTTCCCCGCCCTACCGACTGTTGGCTGGGCGGCGGGCGCCGTCCGCCTTGCGGCGGCGGCGACACTTGCAACACGAGCACACCTCGCTTCGGCGCGCTCGACCCTTCACAACGGGCCGCCCGCAACGACGCGTGTGCGGCCCTCTCTACTCGACCTGTGCCACGGCACGAGTCGTTGTAGTCATGCGGCCGCCCCGGCGATCGTGCTCGGGGCGTATCTCAGCACTCACCGCGCGAGACGCGTGGCGTGCCACAAACCAGTAAGCAGCAGCCTCCGCTGCTGCGACTCGAATGCTTCAAACGCGCACCTGTGCTTGCGCACGGCGTGCTCTACACGAGCCTCCCTACCGCACGAGCGTGCGGGCGGCTCGAATCCACCCTTCCCCCGCCCTAGCCACTGTTGGCTGGGCGGCGGGCGCCGTCCGCCTTGCGGCGGCGGCGACACTTGCAACACGAGCACGCCTCGCTTCGGCGCGCTCGACCCTTCACAACGGGCCGCCCGCAAGGACGCGTGTGCGGCCCTCTCTACTCGACCTGTGCCACGGCACGGGTCGTTCTAGTCATGCAGCCGCCCCGGCGATCGTGCTCGGGGCGTATCTCAGCACTCACCGCGCGAGACGCGTGGCGTGCCACAAACCAGTAAGCAGCAGCCTCCGCTGCTGCGACTCGAATGCTTCAAACGCGCACCTGTGCTTGCGCACGGCGTGCTCTACACGAGCCTCCCGGCCACACGAGCGTGCGGGCGGCTCGAATCCACCTTTCCCCGCCCTACCGACTGTTGGCTGGGCGGCGGGCGCCGTCCGCCTTGCGGCGGCGGCGACACTTGCAACACGAGCACACCTCGCTTCGGCGCGCTCGACCCTTCACAACGGGCCGCCCGCAACGACGCATGTGCGGCCCTCTCTACTCGACCTGTGCCACGGCACGAGTCGTTCTAGTCATGCGGCCGCCCCGGCGATCGTGCTCGGGGCGTATCTCAGCACTCACCGCGCGAGACGCGTGGCGTGCCACAAACCAGTAAGCAGCAGCCTCCGCTGCTGCGACTCGAATGCTTCAAACGCGCACCTGTGCTTGCGCACGGCGTGCTCTACACAAGCCTCCCTACCGCACGAGCGTGCGGGCGGCTCGAATCCACCCTTCCCCCGCCCTAGCCACTGTTGGCTGGGCGGCGGGCGCCGTCCGCCTTGCGGCGGCGGCGACACTTGCAACACGAGCACACCTCGCTTCGGTGTGCTCGATCCTTCACAACGGGCCGCCCGCAAGGACGCGTGTGCGGCCCTCTCTACTCGACCTGTGCCACGGCGCGGGTCGTTCTAGTCATGCAGCCGCCCCGGCGATCGTGCTCGGTGCGTATCTCAGCACTCACCGCGCGAGATGCGTGGCGTGCCACAAACCAGTAAACAGCAGCCTCCGCTGCTGCGACTCGAATGCTTCAAACGCGCACCTGTGCTTGCGCACGGCGTGCCCTACACGAGCCTCCCTACCGCACGAGCGTGCGGGCGGCTCGAATCCACCCTTCCCCGCCCTAGCCACTGTTGGCTGGGCGGTGGGCGCCGTCCGCCTTGCGGCGGCTGCGACACTTGCAACACGAGCACACCTCGCTTCGGCGCGCTCGACCCTTCACAACGGGCCGCCCGCAAGGACGCGTGTGCGGCCCTCTCTACTCGACCTGTGCCACGGCGCGGGTCGTTCTAGTCATGCAGCCGCCCCGGCGATCGTGCTCGGGGCGTATCTCAGCACTCACCGCGCGAGACGCGTGGCGTGCCACAAACCAGTAAGCAGCAGCCTCCGCTGCTGCGACTCGAATGCTTCAAACGCGCACCTGTGCTTGCGCACGGCGTGCTCTACACGAGCCTCCCTACCGCACGAGCGTGCGGGCGGCTCGAATCCACCTTTCCCCGCCCTAGCCACTGTTGGCTGGGCGGTGGGCGCCGTCCGCCTTGCGGCGGCTGCGACACTTGCAACACGAGCACACCTCGCTTCGGCGCGCTCGACCCTTCACAACGGGCCGCCCGCAAGGACGCGTGTGCGGCCCTCTCTACTCGACCTGTGCCACGGCGCGGGTCGTTCTAGTCATGCAGCCGCCCCGGCGATCGTGCTCGGGGCGTATCTCAGCACTCACCGCGCGAGACGCGTGGCGTGCCACAAACCAGTAAGCAGCAGCCTTCGCTGCTGCGACTCGAATGCTTCAAACGCGCACCTGTGCTTGCGCACGGCGTGCTCTACACGAGCCTCCCGGCCACACGAGCGTGCGGGCGGCTCGAATCCACCCTTCCCCCGGCCTAGCCACTGTTGGCTGGGCGGTGGGCGCCGTCCGCCTTGCGGCGGCGGCGACACTTGCAACACGAGCACACCTCACTTCGGCGCGCTCGACCCTTCACAACGGGCCGCCCGCAAGGACGCGTGTGCGGCCCTCTCTACTCGACCTGTGCCACGGCACGGGTCGTTCTAGTCATGCAGCCGCCCCGGCGATCGTGCTCGGGGCGTATCTCATCACTCACCGCGCGAGATGCGTGGCGTGCCACAAATCAGTAAACAGCAGCCTTCGCTGCTGCGACTCGAATGCTTCAAACGCGC